GTACTTGATTATTATCAAATTAAAGGAAAAAGTTGCCAGCTGTATTCTCATAACTTAAGGAATGAATTATATGCTGAGTAAAACTCTCAGATCATGTTACTTTATCATCATTTATATTGATTGACTTATTCAGTTGCTGCAGATGTTAACAAATTACTTCATGATTGGTGACGTTGCTTTTTTGAAAATCATATGTTTACATTTACCTTTTTTCTATTATGAAAAACTTGTGAACTTAAATGTTACTGCTTTCATTGGATGAAAAATACATTATGGAAAAATGGTTGTGTTGCCTATCTAGCTGACATTATTTTAATATATTTTAGTTTGCATATTATTTGTGTTTGTTTGAGTAAATGCTTATGTATATATGAGTAAATGTTTCTCATTAAAAAAATAGTTTAAATTTTTGATCATGTTTAACACTGCAAAGTTACAAGTTTATGTCAGCTTAAACTTGAATCTAAGTTGTAATTTAAGAATAATTTAAATTATTTTATATTTAAACTGGAATTAAAATGTGTTATTAAACTGGAACTTGGAGAAATCAGATAGCAAGACTTTTTTGTGTGTTTGTTTTGTTCATGGGTGTATGTATATCTGTTTTAAACATATGTATTAAAAGTTAAATTTTATTTTGTTTTTACCATGGATAAGATGGAAGAGAGAAAGATGAATGTAAAGTTTTTTATTTCTCATTTGTAATGGAAGTCGCCTGAAATAATTTTAAGAATTCACTGAGTCAAGTAATGAGATTTTTTTCCCCTTGAGGTTCAAGCTGAGATATGCATTATGTTATATTTCATATGTTTATGTAAGTGTTCATGAAGTGTACAATGTGTTTCACAAGAAGTACCTACTTACCTGTTTTGTTTGGGGAAATATTGTAAAAAAATAGGTTTCTAGAATACAGTTTGAATTCAAATACTTTCTGAGGAAGCATTAAATTTTATTGTTTAAACAGAAACCCCTTAAAGTTAAATTTACTGTTATATAATATAAACTTAAGAAGTGGATAGTTTTGAAATGAAAAGGTTATCAAAATAATTTTTTAGACATTTTTATTATGAAACTATTGTAATTTAAGAATTTTTAATTTATGCGATACTATTCTATTGTAAAAATGGGAAGGAATTTTTGCAGATTTGACAAAGTGTATAAGTGTATCATAGCTATTTAAAATGTGCTAAGATTTATTTTCTGTATGTAAAGTTCTTTTTAAGCTTCGTTTCATATATATATATATATATACACATATATGTTTGTAAGATAAATATGTATGTATGTTTATATATGTAAGATAAAAAACATGTAAATCAAAATTATAATTTTAAACTAACAGTAAAATATTAATTCTCCCTCTCTATTCTAAAAATCGAAATAACTTCTCTGCATTGCGTCATTTCTAGATCTTCTCTTTTCTTTCTTTTTTGCACGGCTTGCGAAGTGCTGATGACATAATAATTGGGAACTGAAGCTATCATTGTAAACCAAAACTTTTCTCTTTGCGTGCTTCCATCTTGCATAACTATGCACTTCAGCTTCTGTCTGTGCTGTGCTTAGACGCAATTTCGCTATGCTGCTTCCTATTACAATAATATCAATAATGTAAATGTTCTTGAACAGGCACGGCTAGGGTGCGAAGTGATCTGTGGCCACATATGTCAATTGGAAATAAAAATAGAATTAAAATTGCCTGGACTGCCAAGTTTTCTTTATGAAATCAACACATTAGCTTATGACGCAATCAGAATACTTCCTCTTCAATATAGGATAACTATGCTTCAACAGTGTTCCGACTTTTCCCTTACTTTTATTATATCATATCATATATATAATTTTAGCATCTTCCTGGGATGGTTCAATCTACTTCTAAATTATTAATCTAAGTTTTTGATATATATATTTAGAGAGAGAGTGTGAGAGAGAAGAAGGCAAGAGGTAAAAACATGTTGGATGATTGTGGAATTTTTGCATTATTTTCAATGTTAATGTTCAATGCAGTTATAACCAAGAATAGTCTCTGAGAATATATAAAAAAAAAGTATGATAAGCTCAATTGTAGTTTTTTGATTTGCTAGGGAGATAACAATATTCATTCTGTTCAGATATTGAAATTACTTGTAAAGATCGGTCTTAATATTTTTGGTTTTATTTTTAGCATAAACATCTGTCTATATATATCCTGTTGTCAATGAGAAATTTGTCAGAAATTCTGTTCAAAGCAGTGTTCTTCAAGTCAGACTGCAGGGAGTGTTCTTTCTTCAGTTTTAAGTGTAGGTCACTAAGTTAGTAGTAGTGTCACTAAGTAGTAGTGTCACTAAGTTACACTTTAAGGAGTGTAGTGGCACTCCTTAAAGTGTAACTTAGTGATTCAGAAGTCAAACAACAAAAATCAGCGCTATATTTTCAAATGTTCACAGGACTAGTTTCGATGGTTTTACCTAACCACCATCCTCAGCTGCAAAAGCGCAAATGAACGCGATAGGATATAATGAATAGATAAGAAAGCCTGGACAGAAAATAATCTAGTGGCGCCATCTGTCAATGAAACCAGAACTAAAACATAACTTCTTTAAAGGCTGAAGGCAATCTTTGCTTTCCTGTAGTGTGCTTTTTTTTAACCTTTTGCAGTAACTATGATGGCAAAACAATAATATTTTGTTATATTGTATGGTCTTTCTAAATTACTATTTTCCCCCTGTTCTAATTTTTGCTGTATTTTCTGTTTGGCAGTTAAAATCATTTGACAGTTTAAAGTCTGAGAGAAAATCACCCTGTATTAACTTTTTCCTAAGATTTCACCGTAATGTATTATTTGCTTCATAATACAGTTTTATGTGACATCATTAATATTTGATTTTTCACTTTATAAGTGGACTGTTCAAATGGTAGTTCTAAAACGACACTGGGTATAATCAAATTCTTTATTCACAAGTAATCATCATAGGCCTAAGCACAACTAACCCACTATTTCACGAGCCGAGGCCATGACACTTTGTGTGATTTTGGAGACATATCGAAGCACATTTATCATGGAGCAGAATCACTTCTTCTGTGAGCAGCCCAGGCTATTTGCTTTTGATGATCGTGCATAGGCTACAAAGTGTCTCGCAATACCCAACATTGTTAATGTATTTTCCATGCTCAAGGAATTTGATGAGTATCGGACATGGAAAAAAGATGGTAGACATTACTGTGCCTACTTAGGGCGCAGCTTTGAATTTTTTTGGGAGAAGTGATAACGCGTGCTTCCACTGCATACTGTTCCACTTTGTCTCCGGCTTGAAGTGATGGAACCAGCTCTTGTCATTGGCAGCAATCTGCTCTAGGACAGATAATCTTCATGGTACTGGAACAGCTGTTGCACTGCTAGCCCCATATGCAGTTCCTTTTGTGGTTCGCTAAGCTTCTTTGAAGCCCACTGCGCACACACCTTCCGGTAACCCATCCTGTCTTGCACAATTTTTCACACTGTTTCAATGTTGGCCCTCACCATTACTATTAAAATTTGCATTGAGGCATGCCGATTACTTTCCATCAGGTCATTCACTTTTGTGATAAGTTCAGTGGTGTGATTAGTGTGTGTGCCTGGCCTGGTCTTGGGTCATCATTCAAACAGTCACAACATTCCACTTTCTCACTGATTTCTCAGACGCACAGTCTCCTCCTTCCGGTAACCCATCCTGTCATGCACAATTGTTTACACTGTTTCAATATTAATCCTTAACATTACTGTTAAAATTTGCATTGAGGTATGCCAATTACGTTCCATAAGGTCATTCACTTTTGTGATAAGTTCGGTGGTGTGATTAGTGTGTGTGTGTGCCTGGCCTGGTTTTGGGTCATCACTCAAACAGTCACAACATTCCACTTTCTCACTGATTTGTCAGATGCACAGTCTGCCCCTTACAATGGCGATGAGTATCAGCCAGTTTAGCCCCTTCTGCTGTCAGACATTTGATAATATCTCGCTGCTCTTCAGTCATCAAATTTTGCAATGGGAACACCATGATGTCCTCACACACGCTGTTACGTCAATTGGATGGAACATACAACTGCCTGCTTCTCTCCTGTGTCTTGTGTGGGTGCCCATGCATGTGCTAAACCATGTGGCACTACATTCACATCACTAGATGTCTCACTACATTATCTCAAAGCAGCATATTCAAATTACAGCCGATTTGGTTGTTACAATGTTTCATACCTTTTCATTTGAACACCCCTCATATTTGCTGGGTGTGATGCTGTGTATTCTTTAAAATAAATTCATTCAGTTTTTTATATAACAAATTTTGAAAAATAACTTTTTTATATTGATAAAGATAATTATGGGGATCAGTGTAATAAATGCTATTTGTAGGCTGAATATTTTTTCTTTTAGTAAATAATAGCTTCAGGTAAATTGTAAAGACAAAGAAGCTGCACTATTTTGTTAATTTCATCAATGTTTTATCCACTGAAGACTCTTTTGCTATTTTTTTTTAATAATATGAGACAGTATTGTCATATTTTTTAATATAGAGAATTGTAAATTTATCTTTTCTAAAATGAAGCATAGAATTTTAAATGCATTCAAATAGCTTGTATTTTTTGTATAGTTACGTTTTTAGGTGCAAAAGAAAAATTGGTATATATATATATATTTTCTTTGTTGATTCAGATTATTAAAAGGAAAAGTGATATGTAAGATTATTAAAATTGTTATAAAGAATAAATATATTTGAAAATTATTTTTTAGTTTTGGCATTTTTCTTCCCTTTTTCTTTTTTCTTTTTTTGATTAGATTACCTTAATCTAATGCACTGCATGTTAATCTTACGTTTGGTAGTTCTTAAGCGTTCTGAATTTGTGTGCTTTGCTTCCTTTTAAATATCAGAAAGCCAAGAGATTATCTGAAAGCAGTTTTATATCTCTTTATTTATATATTTATTAGAAGCCTAAAAAATGAAATAAAAAAATTGAGTTTTATAGCTTAATTTGTAAATGTTTCTTTTTAGCCATCTCCCATTGAAACATCTACATCACCAGCCCAAACAAAGCCAAAGGCAGTTGACACTTCTGTAGGTCAACCAATACCAAGGCTGGAACCTGGAGAACTGAAAAGAAAAGTTTCTCAGTCAGAACCTAAAAATGAAGTTCCAGAAAAAATTACTCGAGTTGAAGGTAAAACTATACCAACTGTTTCCAGCAGTTCTCCAAAACCTGCCGCCAATAATCAGGAGTCTGAAACACAGGCATCTTCGCCATCAACACCAGTACCAGTGGATGTACCTAATAAAACTGCTAAGCATACAGAAACTCCAGTGCAAAGAATTTCTGTCACTGATGCTGCTTTCAGGTCAGGAATTACATCTGCTACTAAGCAACCATATACACAGAGTGCCTCTTTCTTACCACCTGAACCGATACCTCAGAAAGCAACTCAACATATTCCTCAGATGCCAGCAACTTCTTTTTCTGTTACTGTTCCTCCACCAACAGCTACCTTAACTCAGCCAGCTGCACCATATTATACAGCAGTAGCTCCTGACACTCAGCATTATCCAAATATACAACAACCTCCCCCTCAAATATATCCACCACGTCCTATGCAGTTCCAGCATCCTCCTCCTCCTGTTACGCCAACTGCTCCACCTCCATTGCGTCAGCCGCCACCACAGTTTGGTGAACTTCCTCACCAGTATCCTCCTAATTTACCCCCAACTGGAATTCCTCCACCTTTTAATTCTCAGTTTCCTCCTCCAAGGCACCAACCGCCACCTAATATTTTAAATAATCCCCCCCCTGCTCCAATGCCAGGAATTACACAACATCCTCCTCCAAATCATCCTCCACCAAATCGTCCTCAAGGTATGCCACCGGTGCAAGGTATGATAAGAACTGGACCACCACCTCCACCTGGAGTAGGACCTCGTACTCCAATGGGTCCACGTCCACCTCTAGGATCAAGGACACCTTTAGGACCTCCTCATAATCCTCTTGGGCCTCCACGTATGATGCCAGATAATCCTTTTGGCCCAAGACCTGGTTCTGAAATGTACAATCCTCATCATGAGCACAGGGGTGGTCGTCCAACACCGGAACATATGCCTCATAATCAAGACTTTGGACCTAGAGGTCATTATGATAATGACAATTCTGGTTTTCAGAAGAGACGTATGGAACCTGAGTTTGATACTTCTTATTCTGAATATGATCCTAATTTCAGAAGGCACCATCAACAAAATCAGTTTGGGCAAGATTTTGAAAGGCCATCACCACAACCTAGAAGGTACACCTTAGAACATCAGCCACACAGAAAGCTTGAGAGAGGTCCACCTCCATCTATGATTAGCAATATGTCACAGCAACAAGGAGCTCCAACAGGCATACCACCTGTAAGAATAACGGGGAGGTACTAGATAGTTTATTTTTCATTCAAATTACTTTCATAGTTTCATTAAAAAAGCGAAAACAGTTTTTCTTTTGATGTAATGTAATTTTTTAAAACTTAAATTACAATATACAATTGATATTTATTATTTGAAATATATTTTATAATTTCAACCTTTAAAGAGAAAAAAAAAAAGTTTAGTTTGCAGGCATAAGCCTTAAAGTAGTGCATTAATTTTACTTGTTTAAATATTAATTATTTAGAATAAATTTTTATTAGAAAGAAACTTTTTTAAAAATTGTATAACAGCACTCTACTCTTAATTTTTATACGGTGTAATATTTGTGCATATTACATTGGTAATTGATGAATGAACATAAGGTATTGTAATATAATCATTTGTATAATTTCAAAATTTATATAATTTTAATTGCTAGCTAAAGTTTACATTGCCTGTAGTTGCCTCAGATTTTCAAATGTACAATATTTGAATTCATTAACAATACATATTAGATTATGTATGTGTGTGCTAATATACATTGTGATTTCTTGATTATTATGCACTTTTCATATTCATATCTATGTAATTTGAATAAACAGATTGTTAAAATATGGTAAGTTTATTATTTTAGGCGTAGCAGTCAATAAAGTAAATGTATAAATAGTGTTGTGTTCACAATTTATCTATGTTTTGTGAATTATGACAATTTAAAAAAAATTAGAAAATATATAAAAAAGTTTAAAAAAAAAGGAATTTTGTTTTTTTAAAACATGATCTTTCTCTTTCTCCAATAGAATGTTCTGTTTTTTTAGGGATATATATATATATATATATATATATAAGAACTTGGATATATTATCTCAATAGTAATAGATTTTGCAACAGAGTAATACCAGATTCTTTTTTTAGTCATTGTGTACTAATACTTAGTATTCAGAATTGACGAGAAATTTGACATTTTTAAAATCTTAAAAACCTTTAAGAGTCTAAAAATGGCCAGATGTTTTTGAGGTTTTTAACCTTTATTAAATTATTTTGCAATACTTAATAGAAATTAGAATTATGAATATTCTTTTTGTTGAACATTCATTATGCATGTTTTTAAAGTAAATGCCAGAATATATGTGTTAATTTGGCTAATAATCACAACATTTTTGCCATATCTATCAAAAAGAGCAAGACTCATTATAGATATGTCATTCTATGTTTGATAATGCTAAAGTTTTTTTTTTGGGGGGGGTGATATCATGCAGCCTCTGAATCTGAGGTTATTATTATATGTTATAACTGAAGTAACTTTTTCCAACTTACAATTTTATTTAAAAGAATTTAATTATAAATATTTTTTAAATAATAAACAATTGTAAATTTTTAATGGGAAATTATTTGGAAAGTTGTAATTTAATGAGATATTTATCTGTTTTCAACCATGTTAAAAGGACAGTCGTGTTTGTTTGTGTATTTGATTTATCATGGTTGTGGGATTCTGTCTGTGAATATTAACATTGTGACGTGTATTTCTTATGCATTATTTAATAATGTACTTCTTTTTTAATATTTTTTCATTTGTCTTTTTTGTGCAAACATCTTAGGAATGTCTTTCATGTGTGCGTAACTTGTGTTCTGAAAAAATTATTTTTAAAATTCTTTTTTATTTAATTTAAAAAAGCTATGAAGAGATAAATTTTCATTCTTGTGTGTGTTTTAATTATTATCTGTTTTATCTGTGATGCCTTTGTTTCTGTATATTATGTGTACTAATAACTTCTATGTAAATTTTTTATATGTTAGAAAGAAATCTTTGTATAATGTTTGTTATTAAAAAAAAGCATCTTTCGTACAGAATTTTTTTTTTTGTGAAAATTTAAAAAAAGTTTGCATATGTGATGAAAGGTAATATCACTGAATTGTTTTTCTGTAAAATATTTTAAATAACTTCAAGAGAAATATGAATTTTATTGTAAATAATTTTATCAGTGATAATTTGTATGAAACTCTGAAATGTATAATTTAAAGGTGTTATGATGTTAGACATTCAGTAATGATTTTAAAACTATGTTTATGAAGTCAGCAAAGTGACGCGTAATAAATTTCCTTATTTCATAACCATCCTAATATTTTTATATGTGTGATTTGTAATAATTTCCTTTTACTTGTGAAGTTTCATTTATCTAATTACATTGGCTTCAAAAGTTAATCTTTCAGTAATAAAATCAACAAAAACGGAAAAAGAAAGCTCTGATTAACTATCAGATGGCACATAGAGGTAGTAAATGGGTTCATGCCCCCTTCCCCTGAAAACAAAGGTTATTGTTTTTGTAAATTTTGTGATAATATCACATTTGGGCCATTAATAAATTGATGTTTAAAGTTATAAACAAACAAACAAAAACTTACATTATTGAGTTATATGATCTCCTGGAAACTTAATCCTTCCCAGTACTTGCCCTTGCTTTCTGTGAGATGATCAACCAGCACAGATGGTAGCAATGGCTGTTCTTCACAAGGGCAGTTTCCAGTTGTCTGAGACTGGCTAAACTTGCAGAGACAGTATGCCGAAGATCATCCCAGAGATTTTTAATGGGAATAATTTTTGGGGGAATACAGAGACCACTCCATCCAATGTGCTTCAGTGTTCCACAGACCACTGTGCTTCAATGTATCTGCCAGTGCTTATTACATACCAGGGTTGGCCAAACTTCATTTCAGTAATAGCCGCACATTTGAATTCAAGAATTTTCGAGAGCCACATCTAGATTTTCTAAAAGCCACAAGTTCATATTTACATCATTATAGAAGTAGTGGAGGAGGTTTTAAATAGAAAGAAATCCCTGATAACTTTTTAAAAAGAGTCTAAACTAATTAATTACTTCCTTTTGGACACTGAATAGTTTACCATATTTCATACATATATTTTATATGCATGAGCCGCACGAATTGCCTGCGAGCCGCACTTTTACCACCCCTGTTATATACCATTCTTTCAGCCATAAAAACATGACTGCCATTAAAAGTTCTATGTAAGTGTTATTTGTATCAGCTTAAAATGTATCACTTTGTATCAGCATTTAAATAAACCGTCTCAAAACCTTCAACAATTGATTAATTAAGTCTATCTTGGCTAGCATTAATGTAGATTATTTACATACTATCATTTGCATCCACAGCAATTTTTAACTACTCAAATTCAACTACACTTTTGGAAATTGCTAATTTGCATTGTGTGCATAACTTTTGAAAGCCAGTGTAATATAGTCACATTGAAACATTCTTGAAATATTTTAGGTAAAATATTTTAGCTGAAGCAACTTTTATTGCATGCGAGAAAGAGTGTGAATTTTATTATACTTTTAATAACCATAGTTATATTTATTATTGCCAGTTTAAACTATTTAATAGGACAATCTTTATTTGTAGATTTTTAATACTATTTATAGTTGACTAAAAATTTTGGTTTTATGAATTTGAGTTTATTGAATGCAGAAACTGAAGCATATTTTTCTTTGAATTTGTTCAAAATTATATACTCCTTTTTTTGATAGAGTATTGCATCCATATGTATTGATACAAATAGAGAATCTTGCGTTACATTTTCATAAATTTCTAATGTTTAAACATCTCTATTTGTAATTAAAAAGTGCAACTTTTCATTGGTCTGAGTTCTTTTTTTTTAAATTTAATCATTTATGAATAGCATTCCTCCTTTCTTTTTAATAACCTGCTTCTAAAAATTTAAATTGTAAAAAATGCCTAAATCTTAGTGTATAACAAATTAAAAAAGTTTTAAATTATATGTGTTGTTTTTAAGAAGTGTTCTAGTTGATATAATTTGTTATAACCATAGCTTTTGCATTAAAATACGGTTATTGTTTATTTTGGGAATAGGAAGTCTATTTAACGCATTTTGAATAGTTATTCCTGTTTTTCCTTGTAAATGAGGATCATATTTCCAAAATATTTGAATTATTGTGCTATATGAATTATTGTGCTATACAAGACTGAACATATCTATCAGTGTTCTTTGTTTTAGCAAATATATTTGGTGAAGTTCTGATATTATTTTTTAATCCTAAATGACACAGCAAATAGAATATACATTCAAGGTTTGTTTATTGTGTATATATATCATTACATTTGTGTTATGTTATTATGTAATTACATGCATTATTTGTTTGTAGTGAAAAGGCACACTTTCCTCAATTTAATGTATTTTTACCTAATAGAGTGAAAGTATGTATGACTTCGGAAATTAAATTTTTATGTATATGCACTTTTTATAGCTTATTGATAAGTTATTGATTAGAAAATTCAGCTTTATAGTAATGACTCATAGTTATCATATGTAAAGTAACCATTAAGGAATGGTTTCTTTATTTTTAGACTGAGATTCTTCTAATATAGTAACATTTATAGATTTTTTTCTTTTCTCCCTCTCTTTTTAAAGCATTTTCTGAATTAATAATTTATTGAAATAGCTTGTGTTAAAGATTTCAGTATTATTTTTTAAGTATTTTTGAATTACTAAACCTACACAAATTAGAAAAAATATAGAATATCTACTGTTTTTATGAATTTTAATATATTACACTTCCGTTTATGTTGTTATTTGTTTCAACTGTAAGGAAGAAGTATTTGAACATAGCATTTCATGTGTGTATGCTTGAAAAATTGTAGATTTGAAAAAGAAGGTTTGAGATTTGAATCATTTAAAGCATGATTTGTAAAATTCAATGTTCTGATTAATTACTAAATATTTAATTTGCAGTTTTGAAAAATATTTTTTAAAAATATAAGACTGCTTTTTTATTGTTATTTTATTTATTTATCTGCTGTAGATTTTTTTATTTCAACTGTTTTGCGAATTTCCCCCTCCCTCCAGTAATGTTAATTGAAAATACTAGACGTTATTATTATTATATCAAAATCTTTATTCACTAAGTAATATATGATATTTTCTATTTGTTTGCTTGTTAATGTATGTTTCTTCATTTTATTTATTTTTGAACAATTTTAGGAAGGG